CGCCTCCTGAAGACTCGATGAGTCCCTTTTAATCCCACGCACCCTTGACAACATCTTCACGGTACTCCATCATTCTATCCACTTCATCCATCTTTTCTTCATATTTTTTACCATCCCTTCCCCTTTAATTCTCCCCACTCAAGAGTTATTTAATATACTCATAATCCTCCCACGATCGACGCCTATAAATTCGTGTTTTTCCGTTAGATCAGAAGTCTTATCTAGGGTGTACGTTGATTCATGATGCTGAGATCGCGTGTCTATACCTTTCTTTCTCATCTAATTTTTATTTCTCTTTATCTCTCTGTACCCAAGTGTACAACACGTCACGTTTGGTACGTACTTTCCGTGCGTGCTGGATAATATGATGCAACCTAAATCCAAGGGTGATTGATGCCAGACTCTTTTATTATCTCCACTCTGCATAAGTTCTACGTATATCCCCTCAACTATTTAATCTCCCTACTTGAGATTTTTCATTCTCATTTACCTCCAATGGTGAAATAACTCGGATCTTACACGTACGGTATTTCGCAGAAGTGCCGACATGGTATCTCCTCGAGATCCTTGGGACGAGGGCTTATGAATATTGATGAACGTCGTCGACGAAGTGACCGCGCCTCGCTCGTCTCATTTCATCATCGTCTTTTAATATTATTTTATTCATCCATAATTTATCAAAATGATTTTAATGGTGAGAATTTTTGTTGAATGATTTTTTTTTTTCATATTTTTCCAAGACTCATCTGCACGTCTCCTGACCCAACGTAACGCTATTCGCCAGTCCAACCAAAGGGGGCACCAATCTAACTGTACATTTCTGCTTTCTTGCGCCAACGACCACCGACCTTATGCCCACCTAGTGTTGTACGTAGATATCCTGAGTGTTTCTCTCTTTTTTACAATATTCCTCAATTGACACCTCGGGCACAAATAGCTCACCCTCATTTTTTATCATCTCATCCACAGGACAAAGAGAGATTAAGTGGTACCATCAGTGCATCTCCTCCAGGTTCTCACTAATGCATTAAATACTATTGTATAATTACATGACTAGTGCATGATTTATCCAGCAGTGATGCGCACGGAAATTCCTCTCGACACATCGATTACTCTTTTACTCTTGCCAGTGCAACACTCTCCGTCCTCCCATTTTCCCACCACCATTTGCCTCCTTGGTGAGAATGAATGGTAACTCTCGAGTCGCGCCCTGGAGGAGAACGTTCGTCCTTTCGATTACGACTTTGACGTCGTCCTCGGTTGAATTTATGTAACAATATGGTATCTCGGAAATAGTGCGTCAGCCACATCAATTCTCCAGGATCTACTGGAACAGGAACAGCTACACCGATGATTCCAGTTGTTCACCAGAATTTTTCACAATCTTAAATTGATGGTGATATTTATTTTTATCCGTAGATTCAACAGTACAACATTTGTCATAATAGTAAACCGGCTCTGTGACGTATCGAATTCCATACACCAACGGTTGTGAATAAATTGGATATGCCAGCGTGGAAAATAAGATCCTGATTGTTGTATAACAGGGTGAATATTTTATTCCCTCGAATTTTCGTTGTTGGATAAATATTGTTACAATGGACATTGCGATCGGTGTACAGCAATCTCAATCTCTATTTATCCTGCGGCACGATGTTAAAGATATGTGGTGTTTTGTACGAACGGCAAGGAGTTGTCTGGGTGAAAGGAAAACACGCACGTTATCCAGCATTCACAGTAGTACCATGAGCTCCACTGGTTGTTTGGACACCAGGGTGCAGGGGGGATATACCAGGATTGACATAGAAACGGAGTGAAGCTGGCATTTGGAGGAGTGAATTCGAGAGGGGATTTATAATATCTAATGCACTACAAGCCAAGCGAGGAGGGGATCCAGTGAATATTATATTTCGCAAGTCTCCTGAGAGACTGTCTTTAATCGTTCAAATATTTATTGCTCATTCGACGAAGAATGGATTGCATAATACCTACGTCTGACACAACTCTTCTCTTCTCCATATTTTTGCCAATTCATGGACATTCTGGAACTCGGGGCGCGACACGAATTTTCAAGTACTTCCGGATTACTTCGGCTTCCGGATTCTCTGGTGATGAGGTTGATGCTGGATCGGTGACGTTGCTGAGAATAGGCGAGCGGTCGACGATCCCAATGCATGTCGATACACAATAAAGAAAAATCGATATTGTAATCGAATTTCAATATTTTGGATAATTAAAAAAACAATGTTTTGAATTTTTAAGTCAATTTTTAATGACATCAACTCCAGGAATATTTAGTACTTGAAAATATACCCCATATATTCTATTTTGCATCAAATATTCACGTTACATGAGCTGTAAATATATCTGCATAGATATATCCTAAATATACCCCATTTTTTCCCAAAAATATATCCGGATATTCTGACTATTCCGATATATCTTCGGATATATGATTTTCTCCGAGTGATAGTTGATAAATTTTTCGAGATTTGAGAATTTGGGATTGAAAAAAATGAAATTCACCCATCACTGATGAAGGTGGTGTGTGATGGTGGGACGTGGGGCATCGGGCGTTGCAACTTGAAGTGCACGCGGCACCCGGTGATGGTGGGGATAGGGGACCTTGAGTCGCGTCACGTGACCGCCAAGGTGCATAGAGGGTAGGGCGTCGAGGGCCTTGACCTTACCACCAATACTCTGACTACCTCATTTTCGTGTGCATGTGTGTGATTCCCCTCTTTCTCTCTCGCTGGTGCTTTTTCTTGCTTCAGCTCCTCACTGAGAAGTTGAAGAGGCTGCGCGCACTCTTGGTTACATGAGTCTACAACACTCCCAAAACGTAGACCTTACGACACTTTCTAGTCTTCCGGCTTCTGCCTCGGCGTAACCCTCCCCGTTGCACTTTTTTTTTAAAACTATTTTCTGAATGCCCCTACAGACCATTTCCCGCTTGATTTTTTTTTTCTCATTTTTCGTCGAGGGCATAAAGGAGTAAAAAATAATCGAGGGAATAACGCCGACTCATGGAGGTGCGTCTGCGGTTGATTTTATTTTTTTATTACCATCCGCACTGCCCTGTTACTTTTTGTTTGCCCTTCTCCTTGTCTTTCATTCTCTCGTGGTGAAAATGACGAGTGGTTGAATTTTTTGGAGGTGGAGAAGACGTAATAAACGCACTGGTCGTTTTGATGGGAGTGGAGGGACCACGTACGGGTCACCGAGCTCTTTTCACCTTCTTCGCTTTTTATATCTGCTTGTGTCTCACTCCCTTCATCAACTACTTCGAGGAACACTGCTCTTTCTTCTGCAACGAATAAAACCAACGAGCTAACGCAATTTATTTATTTAAATTATTTTTCCTGGACAAGGGTGAATCCTGGGGCATCAAGAGGTGAAGATGGTACCTGGTAATTCATTCAGATATTATTTCATCATTATTTTGTCCAGTTATTTATTTACTTTTTTTTTAAAATATGAATGAGAATGATTAATTGCTTTGCACAACACGAAAGTGCGTGAGCGAGATCAATTTAACGACGGTCTCACGATAGATATGTGGAAATGATTGAGAAATCGACGGGTAGGAAGCCGAAGGGGAGTGAAGAAAAGTGAGTGCACTGGTGTGTGGAGCAACGCCCAAACCAGATAACCAGCCATACAACCATTGCACACACGCACCAATAATGTTTATATGTATGGGTTATGACTCTCGCAGAAAATACACGAGCCGGTCTCGATGGAATAAAGAGACAGTCTGGTTGGAAGGGGCTAAATGGGGAAACAAGCGAAGTGCCTCGTCAGGAATGCAGGTCCTGCCATTATCTATTTATTTATTTATCATTCTTCCCTCCACCTGAAATTAATGCATCGAAATTATATGTAGATAGTGAAATACCTCCGACCTTTCAGGATTGCCATTTTTTTTAAATCCATGAGCTATTGCAAACTGGACTTTTAACATTTTCTTGATGAAAAATTAAAAATTTTTTTTTCATCGTCGGAATGAGTGGAAAAAAATGTTTAATGTTTGGATACCCTGTGACATTCATTGCAGGTTTCTAGTAAATCGATAAAACCGAGGGAACAGGTTCCACTTGTACGACTCCAGAGTGTCTCGGAGGTGTTTTTTTTTATTTATTCTGAAACAGGCGATAAAAAATATCAGTTAAATTAATTTTTCAAGACGGCTATTTCATAAGTCAGGTCTTCTGAGAGACCGAAGAATTTCCGGTGTGATACCTCGAAATCGCTGGAAATTCCAGGGTTGGGTTGAAGGTTATTGATGAAATTTATCCATCGCCGAATTAAACACAGCCTCCTGGTGGTTGTAACCCACACGGCTGTCGTGGAATGCGTGTATGGATACTCTGCTGTCTACCTCGCGTCAAACCCACTATCTCCGTCCTTTCTACTCCACCTCATGCCTCCCCCCATTTTTTACCATTTTTCTTTCCCTTTTTATATTCTCTCCCCCTTCTCCATCGGCTTTCTCATGGATTAACGTGCGTCATATCGCGGCGACTTTTTTTTTTTTCCTCACCTCCCTCCCGTCCAGCCCCCCGTAGGTCCCCGATCACCGGTTCCCCGATCCCCGGCTCCCAAGGCAACCACTGTGCGCCGTTTGAACGCCTCCTAGCCTTCTTGGTGCCCTGTCTACTTGTCCGTTGGTCTGGACAGCAAAATTCTCGCGTCCTCCTCAGAGGTACAATCGCCTGGTTATCCTCGACGTACAAATTTATCCAATCCCCTCTCTACCCTCTATTTCTATTGGCCGCAGTATATTTATATCGAGTGTGTTGGCGGCCATGTGCGTGTCCATTTCCGCGCGAAGGTCGTTCACGGGACCGGAAGTGGGCCGTCCTTGCTCGAACGACCGTTACGTACTCACGGGTAGAAGGCAGTTTGGCTATTGTCCAATATTTTTTTTTCACTCGCCCTTCCAGAATAAGTACACAAATTTGACGTTGAATTTACACCAGAAATGGTATTGATTTCAGAATAAAAAACGAGGGTATCACCCAACGAGTTCAAAGTATACGGGAGTAGCTGTAATCGACGAGGGTCTTGCTCAGGATGCTGAGCAATCATCCTACGTTGATAGACTTAGGGTCACGTGAAGAGGAGGAAGGTGCGTGGCTATTTGCCCGAGGGAGGATACACGTCCTCAACAGCTGAGAATGTCGGAGCAAAACGCTCCCACAGACGGCCCAGGTTGGTGGCCACCAGCACAGCCATGGAAGAGCTCGTCCAGTGTTGCTGGCACATCAGTTGTAACACGCAATCCTGAGACGGGTAAAAATGTATCAGTGACAACTATCAATGTACCACCGGTACAGGATATGCACGATGGTAAATACTCATTGAGTCTCTCCCTCTCCATTTTTTTTTATCCATCTCTGGGGTTTCCCCCTTTGGCTTTTAAAAGAAATATGCTCAACTTGTGGTTTTCTCTCGACTCCTTTGTGTCATGGAATGAGAGGGGGTAAATTAATGCTTTGGCTTTCAGGCACGTACCTGGGGAGATTATTACTGCACATGCTTTTCTTCTCAGTCCCACTCGTGCACAACTCTTGCGACACTTGTTCACATAAACCTGTTGTATTTTAGACCCGTCAAACATGAATTTCATATGCATTCCACAGTGTTGAGCATGTTTCATTGAGCTAAGTTGATACGACACGTTTACCCATTCGTCTAGATTGTTATTTAATATATTGAATATCGTCTTCTTGATTTGACAGGTAAGAGTGTCAAGTACCTGGGTGGTCAGAATGGCGTGACAGTATCGGTGGTATCATCATGTGGAAGTAGCCCCAGTCCTGGTATCAATGGGCCCGAAACAAGTTCGGTGGATGATCTTGAGGACAGTGATGGTGAAGTTAGTAAGATCGACTTTCGTGGTGTCAATTTACGAACGAAAAAGAAACGCGATGGTGATCCAGACTGTGGATCGAATGCCGATGATTCTCATGAACAACCAGAGCGACCAATGTCGTGGGAGGGTGAATTGTCGGATCAGGAGATGTCTTCCAATACAATTACAAATCAGGAGCACGAGGAGATGTCGATGGAGGGGGTGCAGGTGTGCAGTGCAAGTCCTGGGCTGCAGGAGCAGAAATTTCCGATAAAACCAGAGCCAGATTTTCGATCGAGTCCTGGTATTGCGCATGGTCACAATGACGCTGCGATGCCACTGTCTCATGGCCAGGGACTCCAGCATCCTCAGCAGCAGCCGCAACAGCAACAACAACAACAGCATCAGCCACACCCTCAACAAAGGGATTTGGAGCAGAATCAACAGAGTGATCTTCCACTTCTAGTTGGTAAACTCCTCGGTGGCTACAACAGTTCAACACCGAATCACAGTCCCATTTTGAATCCACGTCATCACCTTCAGAAACACAGTCACACGAGATCGCAAGTACCATCGCCAGACTCGGCGATTCACTCTGCCTACAGTGTCTTCAGTTCACCAACTCAATCGCCACATGCAGCTCGGCACAATGCCCTTGGTGCTGGTAGCCCAGTGCCATCATCATCTCTCTCATTATCACGTCACAGTTTCAACAATTCCACATCATCACTCTCGCTTTCTCTCTCTCATTCCCTATCGCGTAATAACTCAGACGCCTCAAGCAGCTGCTACAGCTACGGCTCCCTCAGTCCACCCACCCATTCACCAGTTCAACAACCCAGACACGCCCATCCCCATCATCATCAGCTACCCCAGGGTAGTCCTCTACATCTACCCTCTGGTTCAACGACAAATGCCCATTATTCAAATCCACCTGATATCACCAATGATGTACACAACGATGATCAGGAGGATTGTAAAATACCATCAGCACCTTCAGGCATATCAACGAGACAGCAACTCATCAACAGTCCATGCCCAATATGCGGTGACAAGATAAGTGGATTTCATTATGGTATATTCTCGTGTGAATCGTGCAAGGGTTTCTTCAAACGTACTGTACAAAATCGTAAGAATTACGTATGCCTGAGGGGCGCTGGTTGTCCTGTAACAGTTGCTACGAGAAAAAAATGTCCGGCATGTAGGTTTGACAAGTGTCTCAACATGGGAATGAAGCTAGAGGCTATTCGTGAGGATAGAACTCGAGGTGGTAGGAGTACCTATCAGTGCACTTATACACTACCTGCTAATCTCATGGGTAATACGGCTGGAGGCATATCTGGTGATAAAATGAATCCGGGTAATTGCAGTCCAGCACCACCAGGAGAGCATCATCATTCGGCGAGACACCACTGGAATCATTCGCATAATAAAATGCAGGTTGTACCTCAGTTGCTGCAAGATATCATGGATGTTGAGCATCTTTGGCATTATAATGATAATGATCGTGCTGGCCAGGGTAATGGTACTGGAAGTCTTGGGGAATCACTTGGCATTCCTACTGGCAGCAATGGCAATCTCGATAGTCGAGGTGAACCACCGAGTCCAAGCCCGGGACCATCGCCCAATCTAGACCAGAATTCAACGAACGATCAGACTAATCCAGGGACCAATTCTGCTGGTAATGGGAATTCATCTCAACCACCAGATTTTCTATCAAATTTGTGCAATATCGCTGATCACAGACTTTATAAAATAGTCAAGTGGTGCAAGAGTTTGCCACTCTTCAAAAATATATCGATCGATGATCAAATATGCCTTCTGATTAATTCATGGTGTGAATTATTACTTTTCTCGTGCTGTTTTCGAAGTATGAGTACGCCAGGAGAAATAAGGGTATCATTAGGAAAGTCAATTACACTTGAACAAGCTAGACAATTGGGTTTGGCTACATGTATCGAGAGGATGCTTGCTTTTACGAATAACTTGAGACGATTGAGGGTGGATCAATACGAATACGTTGCGATGAAGGTAAATATTCTCGTTCACATTTCGTAGTTGGCAATTATCAACGACAGCAATTGATTTCGCTTTTTTTTTCTGTCTACAGGTGATAGTACTATTAACTTCTGACACGAGTGAATTGAAAGAACCAGAAAAAGTTCGTGCCTCCCAGGAGAAGGCGCTCCAGGCCCTCCAGCAATACACGATAGCGAGGTATCCGGAGATGCCAGCGAAATTTGGAGAACTGTTGTTGCGAATACCTGATCTGCAGAGAACCTGCCAGGCTGGCAAGGAGTTGCTCAGTCAGAAGCGTGCAGAGGGCGAGGGGAGCTCTTTCAATTTACTCATGGAGCTACTCAGAGGTGATCACTGAACAAATTAATTCAATTAATTTGGTCTTTAAAGAAGAGAGATAAATGGAATAAAATCTATATGCAACAACGACTAGAGACAACAATGTTCTTCCACGAGGAAATGATCAAACACATGATTCCGTGCTGATGACCATGAAAAGTCTACGAGTGACCCGGAATCAGGTTGTAGTTGTTAAGATAGTTGGAGTGACTAGAAAGAATCTAAATGAAAAAAATATACAAAAAAAAAAATGACTGTAATTTGCGGATTGTCCGTTATAGCGATTAGCTCACTGGTGAGGGGACACACATTCTTTTTTCAATGGGAAAAGAATTATTTTAGACTTAGAGCGATAGATGACTTATACGATAATATATATAAACTATACATATTAAAAATATACATAGTATATATATTTTATACTGAGAAATAATGCTTCCATTGAAGATGAAGGAAGGGGCTTGCGCTCTTGCATTCCTGCCTTGATATACAGGAGTTCTTGTTTATTGGTAATTTAAAGAAATTCTCTGAAGAAGAGGCCTGTCCTATTGTTCGTAGCGTCCAAGCGTGCGTCCAGGTGCAAGTGAGACTGAAATTTTATTAGGGACAAGGGCTCGGTGGAATTGGACGCGCGCACTATTTTTTATTTCTCCTAATTATACTGTTATAATTGTGGAGAGGATGAACACGTGGATCTTGTTTTGTATGGTTTTTGTTTGGTTATAACGAGGAAGAAAATTATTTGTAACAATTGCGGCAACTCCACCAGTATTTCGTACCGTTTTTTTCTCTTCTTAACGTTTACTTAATGGCGATACACAAATTTTCGTCTCCCAGTAACGAGAATGTACTTAAATATCAAACGAAAAAAAAAAGGATTTAATTTTAAATGCTTGATGATTAAATAGCTTACGTAGCCATGTGCCTTTCCCGAGATGGCAATTGGAATTTTTGAAATATTTTTTCATTGAATTCATACTGAAGTTCGTACTTTAATGCCCATTCGTGTCCTGTAATGTGATTTTTCGACATAATGGGAGAAATCGTTTTTTATTCAGTGCCTACGTCGAGAAGAACCAGTTGCTGGACGTTAATTATTCCGTGACTGAGCGCATGAGTACTATGTAGCAATTTAATATGTAGTGTATACTGGAAAATGTGGAATGAGTGATCGAGCGGATTTATAGCCTGTTGGCCGTAGTCTTTTTTTTTTTACATATTTCGTTTATTTCGTGTCTATTTTCCACGCGCCGTGTATCGTTGTTGATACGTGTATCTAGCGCGTGCATTGTTGGACTTTTGTGCTCGTCCGGCATTTTTTAGCGATGCCAGAGCCGACGAATATTCTAATTAGGAAGATAAATTGAATTTTTTTTTCATGAAAATATAAAAAAAAAACATTTTTAATGCCGAACAAAAAGACTGCGATATGTAGAGAAGTGTACAGATCATGATGAATGACCAAATATGCGTGGGACAAACGTGCATTAAATGACGCCTGATGATCAGGGGCTAGATAGTTTGTAGTATACGCTGGCGATACTTTTCGATCATGTTTAATAAATTGATAGATCACTCGTTCATCCCCGCATATTCGAGATTATTTTGAGAGTGATCTGGTTAATATCGTACAGAGATTCTCAAGTAATTGTGAGTGTTTGGCAACTGATTTTCGATTTAGTACGACTAAAATGAAAAAAAAATTTCATAATAATGCTTAATGTAATGGTAATAGGAAAAAATTATCCAGTATTCCCGATGATTCATAATAAAATTGGTATTATAAACGTTAAAAGTGAGTGACAGTTGAGATAGGGCGAGGAGATGTATATAATATATACATATATGTATTGGAAAATATTGAGGGAAATGTTTTATACGATTGAGACTCGCCAACTTTGTGCTAGGTGAATGAATGAGGGGTGATGATTTATAAAATGATTCCTTTGGATATAAAAGTACTTCTTTCAATGATTGAATGTTGAAAGTAAATGATAGAGATATTTGTCTGTTGAAAAGTGACTATTCTATGTTTATATTTTATAATATAGCTATTTCTACGTCTTTTTAATGTAATAATCATGATTACAGTTCGAGACATTGTTTTTTATACGGAACAGAATGAAAAATTCGATATTGAGTGAATTATTTATACAGTTGATGGCAACGAGACAGTAATTGATGATAAATTAATTTCCATTAATAAATGCAGCTATTTTTTAGTAAATCAGAATCGTGGCTGCAGCCTCAGTATCCTCACTAATTTTTATCACTGAAAACGAGAGATTTATATATGAAAGACATTTGCCAATGATGACAATATTTAGGAAGACGTTGAAAATAAATCGAATCGTATTAGATATTCGAAAGAGCTTAATAATGACAGACTGTATTTTCAATTAAATGCATAAAAACACATCTATGAGTAATAGTGATATCTACGAATTGATAAGCCTAAGGATTAAGGAGAATGGACGAATATCCCTGTAGCAATAACAGTCCAGTATTTAATTCATCTGAATATTGCACTGGACAATATCAACGTTAACTCGAAATCTGTAATAACTTTCATAAATAAAATTGTATGAGAAGACTATCATCAAAGCTTGGATTGTGAACGAAAGAAAGTTTTTAATCTTATTCCGTACTCAGTGTAGGCACAAGGCTATTTAAAGTTTATATAGCTGAACGTCGCATTTTTATCAACAATACGAATTTTCATTGAAAATAAAACAACTTTTTACAAAAATAATAAAATTAAATAAACCTTCTTTATTTTAATGAACCGTTGGTGTCGCGTGTAATCACCTCGTGGGTGTAATTAAAGTTTGAAAAAAAAAAATGGGCCAAGGGAATATCTCAGTGGGTAACGGGGATAATAAAATGGTGGACTCACCAATGGTACCAACTTGATGAGGACTTTTTCATTTATCTCTGCTGATTTGGAAGGCCTGAACCAGACGGTGTCTTGTGATCGAACAGCTGAACAGTCAAGAGAGTAGAATATTTCGGTCACTCCAGTTGACTAAAAAAATTGCGTGAATACTCGCTACATAAAATTGAGTGTAATCCTGCGACACAAGGAATTGCACAATCATGGCCGATCGCAATAACATAAATCAGATGATTCCGGCATTGCCAGAGGAAAAACATGGTAATTGCATTTTCACTCTATTTATTTCTCTGCACCTGACACTGCCACTCCCACGACATCCAAATAATCTTTATTTAACTGGGAATGTCCAAGATTCTAGTGTCAACACCTCACAACAAATTCAAGTGTGACGCTCATCCCAGTTGGTTACAATATTTATAAAAAAATTATGAGTTACTCCAAATTGTTCACTGCATTTCATTCGCAGATATGCTGGCAGCCACTAGTGTTTTGCAGCAGCAGGCATCTGATATCAGAAATCAGAGAATCAATTGGCAGCCTTATCTCCAGTGAGTATTGCCACTTATTTATTTATCGTGGAGTTGGCTAAAGAATTATTTAATCTGCAGAGCCCAAATGATCTCAAAGGAGGACTATGACTTTATCGTGGCGTTTGATACGAACGATGCAGCTGCCAAGGAAGCCAAACTCAAAGAGAACCCTAATCAAGCAGCCAAGACCTTTTTAAATCTTCTGGGACACGTCTCCAAGGATCAGACCATCCAGTACATCCTCACAATGATCGACGACATGCTCCAGGTATTTGTTGGCATTCCTAATGCATTCCGTGACAAGCTATTGACGTCAATACATTTGCAGGAAGATCGTAGTCGTGTAGAAATATTTCGAGAGCATTCGAATAGAAAACGAGAATCCGTGTGGGGGCCATTCCTCAATTTACTTAACAGACAGGATGGCTTTATTATGAATATGACATCGAGGATCATCGCTAAATTAGCATGCTGGAGTCATGAGCTCATGGAGAAGACAGATCTGCAGTTTTATCTCACTTGGCTGAAGGATCAGCTCCAATTGAGTGTGAGTCTGTCCTCACAATTTCCCTCACATTTCGCATATTTTACTTTCCATCTTGAGACCATTAATTTATTATTTGTTCCAGGATTTTCCTTCCTATTTCTTTGCATTTACTATACTCTGCTGAATGAAATTTATTAGCCTGGCTTTTTCTGCATGCTTTACTCTATTTTTTAAATTTTATTTTCAAATCGTAATCGAGAAAACGATCAGCTGGGTATTTATCGGAATCAATAATTCACTAGCCTCTCTTCGAGGTGTCGTTTATATAAGTCACTAACAAGTCATTCCTGGGTATATCATCAAGTAACAGATACTCGTGTCACTCATTGGTCCAGTAGAAGACGATACAGAATCACAGCCTAGCCATATTGCTTAGGTGCGGGATAGAGATTATTTTCAAGAGATACTTTTTTATTGATTTTTCATATGAATGGACATATCGGATGGGTTTTTAGTTTGAGGCTGTGCCAGAGGCAAATGTGCATGCCGAGGTGATGCAAGACTTGACACCCAAAAGCGAACCTGGAGAGGCCACTGACCTCCAAGAAATGCCCAGTCTGGTTGGTTCTGTAATAACACATCGTAACATTATTAATCGGTTCCTCGATTATATACGTATCTGCTTTTACAATCTCTCGTAGTAATTCAACAGTCCTAGGGCACCTCGAGGATTATTTTTTTTACATAAATATTTAATTGCAGAACAACGAGTACATTCAGTCCGTGGCACGATGCCTCCAGATGATGCTTCGCATCGACGAATATCGTTTTGCCTTTGTCTCGGTCGATGGCATCTCCACTCTGCTGAGCGTTCTATCCGGACGTGTCAACTTTCAAGTCCAGTATCAACTCATCTTCTGCCTATGGGTCCTCACCTTCAATCCTCTTCTCGCTGAAAAAATGAACAAATTCAACGTAATTCCAATTCTCGCTGATATTCTCAGTGACTCCGTCAAGGAGAAGGTCACTCGTATCATCCTCGCTGTATTCAGGAATTTGATTGAGAAGGTGGAGGATAATCAGGTGGCCAAGGAGCATTGCATTGCGATGGTGCAGTGCAAGGTGTTGAAGCAGCTATCAATTCTCTCGCAACGTAAATTCGATGACGAGGATATTACCGAGGATATCGAATTCCTGAATGAGAAGCTCCAGGCGTCTGTCCAGGATTTGAGCTCTTTTGATGAGTACTCGACTCAGGTGAAGTCAGGGCGTCTCGAGTGGTCACCTGTTCACAAATCCAGTAAATTCTGGAGGGAGAATGCCAGTCGTCTCAATGAGAAGAATTACGAACTCTTGCGTATTCTAGTCCACCTTTTGGAGACCAGCAAGGACCCCTTGGTCCTCAGTGTTGCTTCATTCGATATTGGAGAGTATGTGAGACATTATCCTCGTGGAAAGCACGTAATCGAGCAGCTCGGTGGCAAACAGAGAGTTATGCAACTTTTAAGCCACGAGGATCCCAACGTGAGGTACGAAGCACTCATTGCCGTTCAGAAACTCATGGTTCACAATTGGGAATACCTGGGAAAACAATTGGAAAAAGAAACTGGAGTCTCTGGAGCTCCAGGCACTAAACCTGGCTCCCAAGTTGCAGCCAAGGCATAAATTTTTTTTTGTCGTTTTCAAATGAATATCCCGAGGGGAGAGGTGAAAAATTAATTTGCTCGTTGATCAGAGTTTTTTGCAAATGGATTCGACCTAATTAGATGTCAACATTCCATTACTCGCGTATTTTAAATTTCACGGGTTTTATTAAAAAAAAAAGTTAAATTACTCCCCAGGCGAGTTATTATGCTGCATCATTTTATGGCATCATTCACTACGCCCTGCTGATTTGTATAATTGGAATATGTAAATACAAGCGCCAATTGAAAGCGTGTAGTACAGGATTCGACACGCACAGATCCGTTAATTGTCCAAATTCGTGTGAAATGGTGAATCGTGTAATATAAATATATAAAGTGTTGATCTTATGAGTAGGAAAAAATTGAGGTAAACTTCACAAAGTATTATGACTAATAAAAATTATGTTATATCATAATTTCTCTTTTCCAGATGTATTTATTTATTCATAAAAAAACCGTATTCCACATTAATTTGAAATAATTCTTACGTCTCGTCGAAGGTCATTTTTATCGTGATATTACAAGAGACGAGCTGACTTACCAGATATTTGAAAATATATGGGATATCAATTTCACCGAGACCCTCATCATCTTTACAGAGATTGCATCGTCTTCTGCTTCCCAGTGCGGATTTGGTGCTCCTCACGAGCTCGATTACTGGTCCTGCTAGTGTACCACATTTTCGACAAATAGTAGCTGATGTTTTATCAGAACAATGAAACAATCTGTCCTGAAGGAGATAAGCACACCCATGGGATATGAGAGAGTCCCTCTCCATTTCTCCAAATCTAACACCACCACCTCGTCTCCTCCCTTTGATGGGTTGCCTGGTCCTGACATCAATGGCTCCAGTGCTCCTCACCTGCCACTTATCAGACACCATGTGGCGGAGCCTCTGGTAGTGAACCACTCCGAAGAATATCTCACAAGTCATCTCTCGTCCGTCAATTCCATTGTACATTTTCTCTGTTCCATAATAATTGTAACCACCGAGTTCCAGCAATTTGCCGAAATACTCGACAGCTGTATCGTCCTCGTTGAATCTGAATGGTGTGGCATCGTGGACCAGTCCATGAACAGCTGCAGATTTACCTGCCATCACTTCAATCATCATAGCAATGGTCATTCTACTGGGGAATCCGTGGGGATTGAAAACGATATCGGGAATTAATCCCGATTCCGTGAACGGTAGGTCCTCGGTGGCCCATTTCTGCGAGCAAATACCTTTTTGACCGGCTCGAGAGGCGAATTTATCACCCACCTGTGGATTCCTGGGAACACGAAATGTTATACAAGCCCTCCTGGGTACACGAGAATTAGTTGTTCCACATAATCGTACGTTATCCACAACGACGTCCTCTTTTCCTTTGTACTTTCCAACCACGTGCTTTCCCTGTTGTCCGTCATAGTAGCAGTAATAAGGATCTCCTAATTGTATTTGACAACCTGCATTAGGCAGACCATCGGCATCCAATTTTTCGCACAATTTTTGCTGATCTGGCTGCCTGACAAAATAGCTATTCGCATCGGGCAGATCCACGAATTCAGATTTGTAAATCATTCCGTGGGCAAATCCTCGCTCGTAAGCCGATTTATTTATGATCATAGCGTCCTCCATGTCATAGCCAGTGTAGGAAATAACAGCGACTATTGCGTTTGTACCCATGGCAAAATCATCTAAACTTATATTGTCGTGATGGACTGGTCTGAAGAGAGGAGTCGTAGGTGTCTGGAGTCTGTACAATTTCGTTTCGGCTTGGAGATGCCACGTGTGACAGGGTGTTCCCATTGTTTGCTTACCCATCTGACACTGGTACATGTTCCTGGGACTCTGGTTGCAGTCGGGCATGGGAATGAGGCAGGCTAGATTACTCAGAAAAGCGGTTTTTCCTATCTCCTGATGGGTGGTCAGAGGATTTTGCTCTTCAGGGACTGTACAAACTTCTAGATAGACCTGTTCAAATGTTCCTATAAGCTCGATTTTGTTGACTGCTAGATTTATAACTGGTCTCATCATTCTCGCAGGCCCAGTGAAGATGAAGAGTCCTGGGTACTGAGAGGGAACGTCTCTCTTCGGTACGAGCACGATCTCCATTGTATTCGGCACTTTCTCCCCATCAATCTTCAGTAATCGAAGTTTATCGACTACTCTCGTAATTATGTCATCTTCAATGAGACCTATTACGTTGCCATCCACCAGGACTGTGTAAGAATTGTTGTAATTATCAGCGATAGAAAGGGGAGTCATCCCCAGTTCCAGAAGAATAGTGGGAATGGCAGATCTGCTGAGTTTCTCGTCAGGATGCTTCGTGACGATGCAGTTCATCGTCAAGTGATTGAGAAGACCACAGGGAGATCCATCAGGTGTGTGTACAGGGCATATAAATCCCCAGGCATCAGGCAGGAGCTGTCTGGCCTCAGTAGTTCTCATTTCTTGGAAGAAAGAGCCCCTGTGAATGGCCCTGAAGTGACTCATATACCTCATTCTATTGATATTTTCAGCAACAATAGTCAATCCTGAATGCTGCATCAAACCAAGTCCCGTCTGGGATTTTATGTTACCAGTGGACAAAAAATTCTCCATCGAACTCTCAATGGTTCCAGTGTGCTTCATTGCTGTGAGCATCTCTTGGGGACTTATGCGGAAATTATTACCCACTGTCTTTGCTCGTTTCATAATGGACATTCTCAAGATACTCAGCCACGTCTGGAGCTTCTCCTTGAGCACCTGCAGATACAAGTGTCCCCCCAGGAGGCACTCCTGCATCATCACCGCGTCAGCCCCTTCAACTGCACAATTACCATTGGCCAGAGAGAATAACTTCTTCGTCATGTAGATTAACAAATTGAATTTATCCTTAGGATCGTTCAGATGGATCACCACACACCTCTGAATTATGAATTCACAGACTCCAGCATCAGAGGTGTCTGCTGGTACCTCCAGGAGTCTCACTCTGAACATTTTTCCAATATAACGTTTACACTGATCGTGCGAGTGAAGATTCTCCTCGTGAACCGCTCTCAACATGTTCAGAATACATCCTTTATAATACAAATCGTTTTCACAGCCTGCGATTAGTGCATCGTAGATGTATTTATCAGACACATCGATCAAGGACTTGAGCATGAGAATTATGGGTACGTAGTAGAGAATTTTTTTGTGTGTAAACATCAATTTTGCTGTTCCATCGGTTACGTAATGGAGGGTATTGTTGGCTGCTGTGTTGTCGTCTCTCACAGATCGAAGGAGAATACCCAGATCACTGAAAAGAGTTCCCCTCGACTTCCAGCCTGATCTTTTAATAGAAATGGGATAATTTCTCCGAGTCATCAACAACATCCTGATGAGTCTCTCGTGTCCCTTGATGACGAAGTAACCACCCCATTCCTGCTCATGCTCTCCTTTGGATACTAGCCCAGCTGGATTGAGTTTGTTCAAGTGACAACGCTGAGACTTCACCATTATGGGAATATCCCCCAACTCTTTATCGAGACTCTCCTGTTGTCTTCCATTTATTGACCATCCTACCTTGATCATTAATTTTCCCTTGTAAGTAGCACCTCTCTGTCTGCATTCCGTAGGTAAAATTCTGGGATTCTTAACACCAACTGTCGTTGTGGGAATGCTCGGGGGGTATATCACTGCGTCCTCCACCCAGAGTAAGACCTTGTCATTATTCGCAAGAAGAAGATGCACCGGAACAATTTCTTTCAAACAATCTGTCAAACCCCGCTCTAACATATAATTAAAAGAGTCCAGGTGAGGCTCTCCCAGACGTCGAAGTAGCTGGAATAATAAATTGAAGAGGTTAAATCAGGAGATCCCTGGGTATTGAAGAGTAAACAAAGTGCCTCCAGGTACTCACTGGATTTTGCTCCTCTGGAGGCTTTCCAAAATCTGGCGAGAGATTCGTTAACACTGGTTCAATCAACATTTTTCACTTAAATGAAGGATTCAATAGGCCTGAATGATCCACGCTAAAAGCACGTGGACTCCTGAATGTTGTCCAGGACATGTCGCCATCTGGATGATTTCCCCGAACCAACTGAATTATGGCTCTACGCACTGTTGGAATCGTTGGAATCATAAAATATCTCAACCGGCAGCTACTAAGACCAGGTATTTTTAGATTCAATTGTTTTTCATTCTCAATCGACAGTTTTTAATGTTTGAATAGCTCTGTGAAGTCTCTCAAGTGTCATTGACGATCGTGCAATCAAAGTACATCTTTTATTGCTGTACAACTCGCTGGATTTACGTAACTGATTATCACGAGTAAATGATCAATTGTTCTGTCACAGATAAATTTCGCAGTTTATCAACAATGTCTCAACCCCTGGATGCAATAGCCGACGTCGACATTGACCCGAATGGTGTATTCAAGTATATCTTGGTGCAGGTTCACGATGATAATAATAAACAGAGTAAACCAATTGTCCGGGGCTACGCGAGGTGCCAGTGGCATGGTATGTATATATGAGTTACTCCTATGTACATCCAATTCTCGGTATTTGTTTTCAAGCCTGAGGGGATTGCGATCCACCGAGGTGTTCATCAAACGTTGTTTCAGGGCATGATTGGTTAATTAGAATTGTTTAACTTGATTTTTCTCTTGTATATACAATATTATATTCACATAAATGTATTTGGATTACAATAATTCTCTTTTCCTCTCAAATCTGTACAGAAATTTAAATCACTTATTGTAGAATGAACAGCATTGGAATAAGCTTTTAGCGGAAGAAAGTGTCACAATTCGTTATTACGATTAGATATTTAAGTATTCATTATGAATTCAATTGACGTACATGAGAAGTATTTCTCTTTTTCGAATGAAAAAAAAAAACAATGTTTGATATGGAAATTAAAGCCTCGAACTGATGGAAAGACTGATCTCTTTCCATCAGTTCAAATGCACTACGAGGTCCTGCAAAAGCAACAGCAAGCTCTTTGCAAGCTAAAACCCGATTGGCAGCTCGTGCTATCTGAATTCCTGGGATTTTTTATTTGATTTCTACATTTATCCCGGTGTTGTACTCCAGATGAGCTATCCTGCCCTCAGCTTTCTTTGGGGTCGATGTTTTTTATAAGCTCCACATCGGGTATCGGATCACGTTTTTTCTCATTAATTTCTCCCACCTTGCGATGTGTTCTGGCATCGTTTTTACCTTGTGTGGGCGTTTGCCCAGGAATTTCTCTAGGACTTGTGGAGAAAGTCATTATTTCAGACTCAGCGCCCCTATGTATCAGGGTAAACGGTAATTTCACTGAGATTTTCTCGCACATGAGGGACGTGAGAAGTTTCACCTTAAAAAAAAAATGATAAAATAGATAGTGAGGATTTTCAATTGTACAGAAGTTACATATTTCATGCTGACAATAATACCTGGACGTAATAGGATACGTTGATGGCATAATACGGACTTCTGTCCTTTTCGTTGACTTCCGAGGATCTGACAGTGCAGGCTAGACTTGTCCCGGTTCTCGTATAAGTCTCTTCCAGAGCAATCCAGTGTTTTGGTGAGCCCTCAGTTGGACGCAGACTGTATGTCTTTGTCAGAGTTGATCCTGACGCAAGTGGACAATTGTCCTGCTCCAACTCAGAGGCCACAGTATTCTTGAATATCCCATTGTTGAACATACAAACCTCTACATGCTGAAGTGCCAGTACCTTCAATCATAATACAACATTATCTAGATTGGCTGAAAAATACCAAGTACAAAATGCATGTGTGGGATGAATAATGTAAGGGACAGCTTGTTTACCTCAATTCTTCTGACAGATCTGTGACTATCGTTAGCGATATAGACATGGACGGATATTGAATCCCCATGGGCATAAATAGCACGATCCAATCGTGCCTCTAGTCTGATTGATCCTTCAGTCAACAGCAGACGCCTTTTTACAACTGCCGTTGGTGGTGCCGGTGGCTCTGAAAATTACCCAATTTATTTTATTAGTTTTTATATTTTTATATATTTTTATATTGCGGTGTTGTGAGAACGGTGAGCTCTCACCCTCTGATACAGGTGATGTGGCAGTTGATTCCGTCATACATCCTGGCTTTTCACATAGTTTACTAATGGGTCGAGGGGTTGGAAGACCTCGCTGTATCACAGTTATACCCATTCGTACTGTGCTACTCTCATCAGACCGCTGATCCGCACGTTCAGCTGAACAACAAACTCTCATCATTACTTTTTCTTACTACACTCGTGCTATTCCAGTTTCGCATCCCCCGGGGAATTGGTCTCGAGTGAAAACGTGAGATCGATAGAAATCTTTACAACGAAATATTAAAGTACTTACTCGCTCAGGGAGTCACACAATATCCCTCTAAATTTCTTATGCATCATGCATCATCCCTCTCGCCACCCCCCTATACCCCAGCTTATCACGGTGAAGAGAATGCACGTTTATTTATTCAGACCTTTCGAAATTGACTCGGTTGGAAATTCATGAACGAAATGTCTCGTAAATGATTGTGCATTCACTCGAAATCCATTTTCCTCTTGTTTACCCTCTTCTCTATTTTTGTTTTTTTTCCTTCTTTTTTATTTTCATTGCAATGAAATTGCTTCGCGGATCGATCTCGGTCCCAGTGGATGTCAAAATGGGAAAAACCTTTTTGTCAATGGCCCAGGGAGCGCGTGATATTAGGAGCGAATGGAATTATTTAATAAAAAAAAATGGATAAAGTAGCAGTTAATCAACTGACCAACCCAGGCTCTGAATTCATAGCTCGTACCCAGAGGTGCACCATTATATTTTTGGGGCGGACGTAGTCGGATGGATGGTGGTGCAACTGCCGGCACTTCCACGGAAAACGGATAGGCATTCGGCCCTCGACTCCTGATAAGTGCTTCCTGCAGATCATAAAGACATGACTCACTCCATGTGCTGTGGATTTATTCATAGTGAGCTCATGTATGTGCCTTATATATTTTTACACCACTCACTCACTCATAATAAATTCCCTCTAGGTATTCTGTTCCTCAGTGTTTCGTTACCATTGTCACAAACTCAACAGCTACCTTTCAAATGTTGCCCTAAGAGTCAACACGCGTTTTCTACGGGAAGACAGGTTGGAGGATGGGTTTTGTTATTTAAAAAATGAAAAAGGGGTGGAAATCGACAGCTGGAATGATCAGCATTTTCTATCGACAGAACTTCAACTCATTCTTCACATCTTCGCGGAAAGGACATCCATTATTTTGTTTTAGAATAAAAAAATATGTTGAAATAGTTAAATTCTTGGCTCGATGAATTTATTCATTGACGTTGGATAGGGCAACAGCTGGGGATTGATACGCGTTATGGGTGAGAACTAGCAACATCCCTGAAGACTAACAACTGTTTTATCAAGAACATTCCAACTTATACCCTAAACGTGGAAGGGATGAAGAATTTCAGTCTGAAATTTGCTTTTTACGATGGCTTGAATTGTACTTCCCGCTCGTTTCCAGTAAACTCTCTTGATGGGATGACCCTTACTCTTCCTCCCTCGACACATAAACGTATTTATTCAGCACTCAAAAAAGTGTGAACAAACGCAAGAACAATTTCATTCGTTGTTGCATATTTCGAGGGCTCTTGCACATATATTCTTCCCATTTGGTTGGATCAATACAATGTGCGTCGACTTTTCCGGGAGTATTATTCCCCAGCTATTGTTTGTAATCAAACTTTTGGCTGAATGAGCAGAATTTTTTTTTCCTGAGAGGAAGGAGCGAAAAAGCGTTACTCCGATTAAAGGAAAGAAGGGAGATGAAAATAGCGGGAGTTTATAGGTAGAATTTCTGTTGGAGTAATATTAAAAGCTTCACTCGTCGCAAGATCATCTCGCTAAGAGGAAATTGTACAATTACGCGGTAACATTTGCCCGTTACTTTATGTATCAACATCTCGGTTGAATCAGGGCGTTTGACGGTACCACTTGACTTGCTAGTTAATCGAAAACTTCTCAAAAGGGCGACCACAGAATATCTCAATTTGATTATACTCTGGTACAACTCGTGGTTTTGTAAAGTAATTAATGGGATTACCAGACTCGCTGTATTTTTTTTCATCTTCCTACGTAGAGTTGTGGAGAATAATCCAGGAAGTGGAATTGTTCCATATTTCAAGTGGATAGTACCGTTGGGAATCTTTAGTAATAATTTTCAAGGTAAGATGGTACAGTAGACCAGGAAATTTATCAAAACTTGGTGGATGAAAAGGGACACCCGAAAACCCCGGAAAACCGAGGATTTGCCTGTTTCAATGGCCATATTCCATGAAGTCCAGGGGCCGAAAGAGTTCAAGGATATCCGAGGCTCAGAAAAAAGGGTGTTTATAAGTTATATCGAGGGTAGATTACATGATGTAAAGCACAAGTAGTAAACTAGAATGGAGAATGGAGAATGAACTTTGCGAGATAGTTTGGCAAGGAGTAAATTCACGAGATGCCAACAGGGTCAACTCCCCAAGCCCCTCAAATATCTCCAAATCGATCTGATCAATTTTTCACAACTACTTTAAAATCAAGAACATTGACTCAATGATATTATCCTTGACTGTCACATATGCAATGACCTAACGTCTTTAATCGAATTTTAATGCTCTTGATTTCGATGCTCGGTGTATTTGCCTCTTATTCAACTTCTTTGAACTGGAAATTGGACACTTGTGGATCTCGCAGATGCAAGCGAGTAAAATTGGTAGTGCACTAGTCGAGCCTGGGTCACGTTCGAGGCCAAGGCCAGGTCTCGATATTCTGACGTCATCGGTTCATCATTTCTCCGCGGTTGTTATTAACGGAAAAATGTTGCGCACTGAATTCTCGATGAATTATTTGTGAATCAAAGACTCGTGTGTCGGTTCATTTGGATGTCGAGTTAATTGGGAATTGGAGCCTGTGGGAATGCAAATATGGAAATCCATTAGTCGGTGGAATGTAATAACTCATTTGATGAGACAAGAGATGAGGGTACACTATGTCTGTACTATTCTCAACTATTCTGTACTATATTTTATCCTCAACGTATGAACACCGAGTGCTGTCGAACCACTGACATACTGAAAAGAGGAATGTGAGTGTCAGAAGGACGTACAATATAGAGTTAGACTGTTAATAACTGTTCAGCTAGTATTAACCGAACCAGTACACTAATTGCGCATCCAATATCCTGAGTGCACCGTTAATTTCAAGTATTTGTGATTATTACAGTACCTGGACTGGTGTCATAGCTGGAGGCTGATCATCATGGGAATATGGTGGATATAGTTGGGTAAAGCAGAATGGTATTTCGTTGCAAAATTTAACTCCCATCACTTCCTCCTCCTCTCGACTCAACCGAGCAGTCAATGTTATTTGTGCGTACACCTGTACACCGGATTTTTTCCATGCTCGATCAATATCACATCTAGATGAAAATTGATAGATGGAAAAAAAAAAATATGTTACTTACCCTCTTGTCACGGACATAATCAGGCTCGACGACTATCACACCCAGGAGCTTATCGATTTTACCTTGAGATACGACTAAATCCCGATTGATGATGTAGAGCCGGAGTTTGTTGTTTGGTAGATATCTCTTGAAGACTCTGAACAAATGATAACAACAGACATGAGAAGGTCAGATGGCTGGAAAACCACTTGAGGTGGCCATGGTAAATCGATCCCTTCGTGAAATATCCTCTCAAGCTCACCATCCCGCAATACACAAAACAATGCAATATTTATTCAAAGAGAAATGCGAATCCAATAAATGTCTCAAGGCTCTTCCAGATACAGTGTCACCCACGTTGAATGGAATAAAAAGTAGGTCTGGAAAAATTTCCCTGAGGAATCGAATTCAATGTATTCCTCTTTATTTATATCGCCAGTGGAAACAATTGTTTGCGTTGGAGAGACAAATATTAAATTGATCAGTCATGTGGTTTGAGTTGTTGATGGATCAGTCAATTATTTCGTGATGCCTTATTCCCCCACGTGCTCACTGGCAGCCCTTAATCCTAATGTAAAGGACAACTCAGCGGACCATCCCCTTATATCTGATATCACCTCTGCCCCTTTTACTTCAGCCTGTATTAATTAATTAACTCAGCTTGATAACCCGAGGGAGCTCGCATGCTATATTCGGGCGTCGATCCATGGAATTCACCCAGGGGGTGAAAGGCACTCTGGTGATATTGAGTATGTGACTGAAGACACTGGCCTCAACCTTGTATATGCCTTTATGTCTTACCCGGTTTATCCTGATAACCTGGGGTTCGATTATGGGAATTGAAAAATTCTGGGGATTATGGATTGAAATCTGTGGCTCACTGTAACTCGTCTGGTGATTATCATGCACCTTCTCAGTCTACGTTCATTGATTTGTGCTTAGAAAAGGGGTTATTAATTCTGGAATAGAGAATAAAAAAAAGTCTGGACTAATCGATCAGTGGGATCAGGTAAACCGATACCCTAGGGGCTTTCATGCTGCTGATGGCTCTCGGGGAATATTGCTCGGTATTCACCGCATCCATCATCTTTGTTTGCGTTGCTCTTTGGCACGCATGTCTTGCGATCCTCGATAAATTATATCGACTCACTCGGTTATTCGATTTTTTTAATTTTTCGTATCTCGTATTCAGTTGAATCGGTCTTTGTGTTAAATGGTAATTGATTTTTGAATGAAAGTTTGAATTATCAATTTTTTTATGTTTCTTTTAGCGCCGTATGAACCTGAATATTGAAAATTATCCGAGAATTCAAGAAATTAATCATAAAAATTTTCAAATGGTTAACTATTTCCCTCCAACGAACAGATGCTTGGCCAAAATATATTTTTGATAGGGGTGCAAACAAGATCGCTGTTTTCACAGGTATCATAAAATTTTGTACCATCCATATAAAAAAAAGTACCTTTCACTTCCGAATAGAAACTTTGCAATCGATCATTCGAGTGAGCACTCGTCGACGTGAATTTTTCACTAAAAAAAACCGTGGAAATTACCGTCGTAAAGTTCACGCTAAAAATCTGAAATTTCGTGGAATAATAGGTACTATCTGCCAGCATATCTAGACAGAATTTAAGATCGATCGATCGAGTACATTTCAAGACATGAATTTCTGAAAAAAAACCTTTGATTTTCCAAGAACTCATTTTCACTTCTATATTTTTTTTATTTAAGCTCATCTAAATCTACAGCCTTAATGATTTTAATAATACCAATACCTTAATTGATTATATATATTATTATATAATCCTTGTGGTTCTTGATGTCCTATTTTTTGAGTGTAATTAATGTAAACGAAGTAGAATTTACGTACCTATCTGTATGTAGGGTCGGTTGTGATTGGCCCATCTGCTCTCGACATGTCAGCTCACGATCCTCACGTGTGCTATCCTCTTTGACGCATATTACATCAGCATCCCCTTTATCGTTTGTCCCCATTGTAACGAATGCCGCCAGATTGGTTATCACCTGTGTTCAATATTTCACGCACGTGTACCACATTCCACGTCGAAATATTTATTTCCCCTCTTTACGGGCTTGCGCGTAAATTCCTCCTCTGATTCACTGATATGCAAACATCCTGTGGAGTTGAATATTATTGTTGAATTTGTCGGAGGTTGTCCATTGTCACTCGATGAACTCTTTCATCTGGATTGAATTTCTAGAGAATTTCAAACTTGACGCATCAATGAATCCACGTGATGCTTTTATGCCCATTCGATGTGATTGATTTTTCCAGGAACTTCTATTGCAATACTGAATAGTATTTGGTCGTGGGATTTTTCTACTCTCAAGGAATTAAATTGAAACCTCCTCTGGTGAATTGCTCTGCCTTCCGGCATCAAGACTCTCGTTCAACTGAAAAAGAACATTTTTTCAAATTTCAATCAATTCTTGGGATAATTTGAGCATTTGATTGTTATGCACTTGCGTCAGGAAATTGAAGGGCTCTTAAGTGAAGTTTCATATTTCATTGTGATAATATCGTTTCTCTTTCTCAAGGGGTGCCGCGGAATTACAATGGCAGGCTGCGACCATTTGAGGAAACAATGGATTTAAGTGAATCAGGAAATGTAGCAAATGGAGAGGAAGATTGGGGTTGGATAATACAATGTGTGTCCTTGAAGACAGGTAGCCGAAAAGGCAGGGCTAGTGATTGATTTTTTTTTTATCCTGAGAATGGCCTTGGGATGAATTCCATTCGTGTCGCTTTTTATTTCAGATTTATACAGCTTGGTAAATTTCAGCAAATAAATTAATCTCGCAATCATTTAAATCATGGGGATCATTTCGCGGTTCGCCAAATGCCAGTGGAATATGAAAAACTTGTTTTTCCTATATTTTGCATTTTTTATTTTGCTACTGTTGTTTAGTACCTGGTGAAGGTAAATAATCAAAGTTGAAATGATGTTTACATGGGGGTGTTTTAACATACTTGCTGTTACAGCCCCATATCCCACTAAAATGCACGTTCTCGATGTCCCTGGAAGTGATACACAACTTCTATAGTTCTCGGATACCCTGGCCTTTTGAATATTTTACCGCAATTTCGGGACTTTGTATTAGTTGACTCCGGGAAGGTCGCGTGTAATTCGTCCATCAAAATTCAAATGTCCATTATCCTTTGCTCATGAATTATCAGATTTTAATCTTTTGATTTATCCTCAAAATAAATAAAAATTCGGCTTTCATTTTGAGAGATAATTCACTCTTTAATGAATACTTCAATTTTCAGTAGATTGTAAATTCAGTTTCAAGTTTTTCAATATCGGATGAATTCGAAAGATGAAAATTACCGGAAAATTCCAGAAATAAAAATTTTTGTTCGAAATTTCAGGGGTAATTATCCAGTAATGTAATGGAAATGTCTTGGAAAAATCTCGGGGCTTTGTATAACTCAACTCCGAAAAGGTCACGTAATTCGTGCATGAAAATTCAATTGTCAATCATCTCTTGCTCATGAATTATTATTTGAATTTATGGTAAATAAATTTATTAAGGCACTTTTGCGAGAATTGAATTTCAAATAAAAGCGCTCACTAAATTACTAATTTATCTTCAAAACAAATAAAAAGTTGCTTTTCATTTTCAACAACAATTGATTATTCAATGAGAGCTCTAATTTCCAATCTATCCAATATTATTACTCCGGCTAATTAGTGCCTCTTTTATTATTATTATTTATGGAAATTATTGTCTGAAATTCCAAAATTTATAGTCTTTCATTATCAGATGAATTTACAAGTGAAAAATCACCAAAAAATTCACAGAAATTGCAAGTGCAATTGTCGAACAATGCAGTGGAAATGTCTTAGAAAAGTCTCGACTGGGTTTTGTCTAGCTCAACCCCGAAAAGGTCACGAGTAATTCGTGCATGAAAATTCAACTGTCAATTATACTCTGCCCATGCATTACCACATCTGAATAATTTAAGACACGACAGACGTAAAAAAAAAAACGAAGAGACAATGGTTCTAATGGAATTTTTCACGGCTAATGACATGTTCAATTTGAAGTTCACGGAGGGAACAAAGGCCTTTAGTGGTGAGTGGAAATGATAGGGGAGAGTACCTAGCGAGTTGACTGATGGTCTTAGTTGTAAATTAGGGGGATTAGCGTGTGATTAAGTAACTGAAAAACATGATGTTTTAGCCGAGTAGAGAGGGAGTTTATTTCGGTGATACAATGTATTCTGCTCTTCGTGGGGTAGAGCAATGTGACCTTAAAGTCCACCCACTGGAATATTATCCCAACACTTTTCCAAGTGTAACACTCCAGGATAATATCCTAGGAGTTTTAATGATTTTTCACGTCCCATCATTCCAACTCTCGTCGTTTGACTTCAGCTACAATAATTATCCCCTTCAACATTTCAAGACACACCTGCTACTGCATTTTTATCCTGAATTTTCATTCCAGAGAATAATCCTCAAACATCCCCTAATCATTACCATTGGATTACCCCTCGATCATTAACGGACAAGGGTTGGACAATCGACTAATGAGATATCAAACATCCGGTCATACATTAATACATTACTTAATCATATTCCACGCTACCTTGTCTCAATTTCCAACGATTCAATAGCAACATGATTGATTATTGTTTTTATTTTTGTTTGTTTTGCAATGTACCTTCCAGCCACTAAATTCACCTATTCAGAGAGCGAACGATGATGGAATTGGCGCGTTGGCATAACAAAAATAAACTTGCCGTCAGTTATTCGAATAATTCGAGAATCTCTGGGTGTCGTGAGTCAACATTACACTGGGATAATTTCGTTGTCCCAATCGTAATAATTTAATCTAGATATTTATCATTTTTATAAATTATTTCCGAGACGTTTTCAGGGGGTTTTGAATTTATTTTATTTTTTCGGAGATGGTTTTTAATTAATCGTTTTATTTTCAAGTGGTGCGGTGAGGGAAACGAGTCAACGTACGGCCAGACCGATCCGATACTCTAGACGGTTTGCCGACAACTGATGAGAGAAAAGCTCGAGCAGGCGTTCGTGTGAGTTGTTGCGCGTGCCCACACTACATCGTATTTTTATTTCCTAATTTTTTCCCTTTTTTATTTCTCTCCGCAATTCTGTTTATCCCAATACCTTATCTGAATGATCCGTTTTATCCTCTCATTATGATCCTGGAGATAACCCAGAAGACATTCCCTCGGAGAATCCCAAAAATTCGAGGTGAATCTCGTCGGACTGTTGGATAAAAAAGAAAAATTGGTTGACATCATGTCAACGTATTTTTTTGTATCTCTTCTGGGGCAGGATGAGTGCAGGATAAATAGCAGGTATTCCAGTTGTTTTTCATGGGAATGGACTCCAGGGGTGGACAGTGGGAAATGGATGTCAATATCTTCGTACGTATATCTTCTAAAATTGGAATGACACGATATCCAATTCGAGGTCACGGCGAGGGTCATGTTTATATTGAAAGTAGCTCGATAATCAATCATACTGAAATTTTTATCACCTCGGGTTCGCTTCTTTGTTTATGGAGATAGAAAAACACGCATTGACTCTTTCTACTGGGAGGGAGGAAATTTTATTGGGGTAGTAATGATGGAATGCGACGCTGAAATACAATGGGGGTTTTTCCATAGTGGAAAAATATCTCCAGATATTTGGGGGAGTCACCAACTTCAAACCATAATTTAATACAAGAAACTTTCGTTTATCCAACATCGACTTTATAAAAATCGATGAATCATCAGGTTAAACTTCCAGCAACAAATCAATTCCATTCTTCTCAATCTTCACTTCGACTTTCGAGATCAATCCCTCGTGGAATGCAAATAGACGCTGAATTTTCCCTGGATTCTCCTCTGAAAATATTCCAAGTATATGCACTGACGCATTATTTTTAAAAAACTTTAAATAACTCATAACGGTTCGTTGCACATCGCCTCTGGTAAATATTTACGTTCCAAAAATTCCACTTTTCCCCACGACTTTATCTCTCGATCCAATGCAAGCCGATTATAAGAGCATCAACAATGGGCAATACTCCAGGCTCATGGTGGATTATTTTGGATAGATAATAGAAATAAAAAATGATAATAAAAAAAAATGAGGAAACATGGAAAAACGTGAAGAAGAACGTTGAGAGGGGGCGGAGGGGGTTGGGAGGCGGCAGATGTATGGATTAATATCTCTCTAGTTATCTTTTGGATATGAAAAGCGACATTGACACATATGGCGCGTCGTGAAAATTAAACAATTGATTTTCTCTCGTTTTTCTATTAAAATCCATTAGCTGGGGTAATAACCGCATGTACATAACAAACGCTCCAAATTGACGAAGAGATCAATGACCCAGATATTCCAACAATGTCGCAAGTTTCGGTTACACTATTCCAATTAGTCAATTACTCCAGGAACTATTGGTAATGAGTTTAGAGAGTTACTGTCGCAGTTATTGAGGAAAGATTTCACGTCGTAGCTTCTCCTGATCCTTTTCTTTGTCGTATCGAGAATTTAATGAGAAAAAAGAAATCAATCAGGAGGGATTTACTCGACTGCGCTCTCGCCTCACCATCTACAGGTTTCCTATAACTCGTAATATTTGAGGGAGGGATGAATACAGTGACAGGACTCGATGCATCATTTTACGAGTGAATCCACCCTGAATTTATCTTTCATTTGTTCTCCATTTATCATCATCGAGGTATAAAAAAACAATCCAAATAACAATCTGCGTTGATACCAATACAAACAAGTGAAACAATTGTTTGTATTCGAGTTACGTCCACCCTACGATACGTAATACCATCTTAATCGATTTTTATACAATTCATACTGGAAAAAAAAATTATATCCTCTTCAGGATCGGTTTGCAACATTCTTCCAGTTGATTATGGAGTTCTACTTGCCGAATAAAGGTGGATCTTATAAGATTTTGAAGAGGAATTCACTTGTTATCTTCAATCAGGTTTAATAATGATATAATAATAATCTTAAAATTGTTGCATTCCGTTATTTTTACTAAATATTTCTCTCCGTGTATCCATGTTTGGGAAATCGATGAGATGGAGAAAACAGGGGGTTGTCCTCGATTTTGCCACTCCATCGTTATTAAAATTTTTTTTGCTCCAAGGGTACAGACTTAATCGTGAGGAGATTGGAGAGGATTTTCAATTTACCCTCACATGCCATTAATTTTTTGCTCAAATCCCTGGTACTTTTTTTCCATAGGTCTTCTTCGCGCATTGCCTCCTGCCGATTCTTTAGAAAATTTTAACAATAAATTCATAACGCCAGTAACAGCATTTTCACTGATAATATGCGAGTGTGGGATGCGCGTGAATTTAACGGAGGTGGATTGTCTGGACGAGAGCAGTAATTTTCCATCGTGGGGTGTATCCCCAGAGTCAGCTCGAGTCCATGGCCTTTATGTTCACCTCGTTACCAACTAAAAGCGACCTTCTATTCTCCCGTGGCAAGAGCCGGCTTCACCATGAAAATTATTCGCCTTGATTCAAGTTACGCCGTTTACTATGCACAGCATATTCTCATTTTCCCACGGTTCTGAATTATGCCCAGTGGATGTTGAATGACATTGTATTGTTTTGATTCATAACAGCAGAGGGATTTCTCTACACGAGATACCAATTGAATGGACACAGAGCAATTATTTCCGCGCTGAAAAATCCCATAATTTTTCCTCAATTCTGCAAAAAAAAAAAAGAAAAAAATTCTTTTCAACGCGGTAATGAAAGGAAAACATTAAAGGCACCCTGTTTAGCACTTACCTGACTTGTTCGTGGCTTTTACTACCCACTGTGTACAGTTCAATCGATTTCTGGTAATTTCTGATGGTCTTTGCTTCCGGCTATTTACTCCGTCTCCTCAATTTTCATCAAGGCCATAAGCATCTTTTATGGAACAAAAACCATCACCACGACAAAATTAATACGATGATAAATTGTTTATATAATATGGTAGATAAAGGGACGTTAGACAATATTAATTTAGCTATTCGATCAATTGATGTTCAAAATCAAATGGATTTGGTAATTAAATTCTGACCAATAACTGGTGACTGTTGACCCGGTGGACATTATTGCTAACATTGACCGAATGTAAATTATCAGTGAAAATTGAATGGAGTCATCTGACGAATTCGGTACGCACATAATTTCAGCATAAATTGGGGGATAATAGCAAATGTTTGATGATCACAGGTAAACTCCGTTTTAAATAGGAGGAAAATGACAATCCGATTTTCTATAAGCGGATTTTGATTAAATTCTATGCTGTAATGAGTTATATCACAGATCCCTGTGAAAGTGCATAATTTTTTTCTCATATTCTTTTCTCAATAAATGCAGATGCAGCGGTAATGGAGCCATAAATATTTGAACAGAGAAAATTACTAATTATCCCCTTAGTTTTCTAATTAGAAAATTTGAACAGTGTGCACCAGGAGCAACGTTACTTCTCATTCTACTGGATAACTTAATTCTACTCTATGAAATAGCATAACTGGTAAACTCGGCTTGTTTACTAACTCCGATCTATTCCTCTGTTATAATCAACGCTTGGATAAATTTCAAATTACTAATTAGTATGCGCTTTCTCACTGTTTCAGCTGACATTTATGATGAGATTGGAAATGAATTGGCGAAATATAGACCTGGAGTTGATACTGAGTGTGTGGGAGGTGGCAGGATAAATCACAATGCTGAGGAGAAGATTATCAAAGTTTACGGTTACTCTCAGGTATTAGAAGTTAATTAAAATATCTGTTCCTTGAAAATTACTGTGCAATTAACTTTGATTATTTTATCAGGGATTTGGTAAAGCTGATCATGAAGTTTCTGTAAGACTTCTCAAGAAGATGTACCCTGATTACGACATCACTTGCTCCGACGAGGGCTATTAAAATTCATTTAATCAATAAAAAATTATCAATAATTGTAATTATTATTTATCATGGATTAATAAAACCGAATGATTTTCACATACGATAAAAACGCTGTCTGTTCGATCTACACAAGTAAAATAATCCTCTGTCGTCTCTGCAGTGAATTTATTGACTCTAAATCCTCTGGGTGCTACCAGAAATTCTTGACAGATGGCGCACTGAGGCTCGCTATCAGATAAATTCAAAAACATCATCACGACGTTGCTAAGCAACTCATTGATTGATTATTTGAAAAAAATATCTGGCGATCAGTCGCGTCAAAATTTTTAGTGGAATTAACTGTGATATAATTTGAAAAAATGCTCCGCAGGGGAAATTCAATTCTCATAACGTTCGGCAGGCGCAATTATTTTTCAACGATAAAAACAATAAATCATGGTAAATTAATAAAAAAACCGATCGTCTGGAGGATTGCGAAAAGTGAAATGGGACAGGCTGAACCGACCAAGATTGCTGTGCCATACTTCGCCAATCGTGAATTAAATTTGGATCTAGTACGTTGATAATTCTTTAATCGAGAATCTATAAAACTTGGTGATTGTAGTCAACCCTATCCAATTTTATTGATTGATTTCAGTTGAAGGTAGAGACCGGGGATAATCATAACAATGGGTTCTCTTCAATTTTGAATAGAGTGAGTATTATAAGAATTTCATAACGCAATCGAGTATCCAGGGGCTCTACAACCCAACAAAAACCAATTGAGTCGATAAAAAATGGATGAAAATATCATTCTCTCATTTCCGACGGGGAAGACCTCGAGAAACTCGATTGAACTGATTGAGAAATACATTAGAATCAATGAGACTAAAAGAAAAAAAAATCAAACACTTGTGTTCGTGGCTCCACCTCCCCAATTGGTTTATATCTCACGAAGAGAACGTATACGAGACAAAAAACAACAAGTAACGGAGAAAAAATAGGGTCCAATGAGCTGGTGGTGTCGCCAGTTGAGCCCCAGGTGGATTTATCCATGACGCCCATCGACAGGACATGGAACGACGATTATTTCCCTCAAGGTGATGCCTACGAGGAGTCAACAGAGCTAGATGATACCGACAGAAAGTTAAAGGCCGAAGACTTGGATAAATCAAAGGTGTCCAATGAGGATTGACATGACAAGTTAGTAGCAACATGTGAGGGAGGTGGATCCAGACATCAATCGTAATACCAGTCCTCGTGTTGTACTCCATTCTCATTCTCTAATCCGTTGAATCTCTCTCCTGCAGATGATCACGGGAAAATTACACCTGGGCGATTCAGATTGCGGCGAGGGTGGGCCCAATAGACCGACGAGGGGCCCCTGCGATCCCCCTGAGGGCCCATGCGAGCCCATGAAAAAACCTGGCTATCCAGGAAAACCGAGAGCCACTAGGGAGCCATTCTGCGTCAAGTGCCCACCAAAGCGACCGTGCAATTTAAACAAATGCCCAACTGAGACTGAGGGTACGTCCTGGAGATCGGCTTGTCAGCAAATTGCATTCATACTTTGTTCTCAATCACAGAGGAGCTGTAGACTCGGAGGCATTCATGTTAGAAATTATGGTACACTCAAAAGACCGAGGATAATTGGGGATTTAAGGCCATCTCAGGCGCCAGGACGATTTAAGTCAGGAAAAGGCTGTGATAAACCACCGGAGGCCTCAAAATGTGAGGATGAGGGAAAACCCAAGGAAATATCATGCAGTACAAATCAATCTCCAGATCCACCAGTCAAGGTTGTCTATCAGAAATGTCCCCCCTGTCCTAAATTACCGAAAATTCCCGAGTGTGTTCCACCGGCTCCTACCTGTGAGATCAAATGTCCGCCTCTACCAAAGTGTCCAAAATGCCCGCCGTGTCCACCTCCTGAAGACTCCAAGGACAAGTGTGCACCGGTTAAATCATCTAAAGGAGCAGCTTGCACCTCCACAGGAAAATCCGCCAAGGGACTCTGGGATAAATTAACTGGATTCATGAAAAAACGAAAAATGTCGACTTCCAGTGGCGCTGACAACTGGAAATCCAGCAAATGTCAAACAGTCACTGATATTTGCTCTAATAATTCGGAGAAGAAAGAGCCATCGCCACCTCCATGTCCGAAAAATCGGAGAACAAGTTGTTATCCTGATACCGTGAAGTGCCCCGAGTTGGAGGAAACCCCGGAGATAAAAGTCGAGCCATTCGTCGAGGAAAAAATCGATTACTCGAAGTTCACCTGTCCACCACCGAAGTTCGAGAGACTTGAGGTTTGTCCATCATCGGATATTAATTCGAGTATAAATTCTACCCGTGAGGAGACCATTTCTTTATTAATGGGACTTCCGGGACCTCCTTCTGAACCTGTTACCCTCTGTCCCTGTCCTCCACCTGCTAAACTCCATCCAGGTGCTTGTCCCTGTGCACCAGAAGTCACTAATACCAAGAAACCAACACCCACTGAACCCTGTCCCTTGAAACCACTGCATCCCTGTCCCGATAAACGAGTATTTTATTGTCCACCTCAACCATCTGCATCTTCTCAACGGAAAAAAGCATGAGTCAATAAAAAATAATGGGGAAAAATCAACTGAAATAATTGGATTGACTAGAAAGAGAGGAAATAAAATATTTGTGCAAAATGTTGATATGTGCCACCGGAGAATGGGCTTTCCTGGTTATTTTTATTAGCGGACTATCCTGGAGAATGACTTTTTGCCGTGAACATTTCTCTGGCGCGACTTGCGTATTGTCCAGCAGCTGAAGCAAGCCCACCATCAATAAATAACCCGATTATCCTCAACGGTTGACATGAACGAGGTGCCACTGGAGCTCAACAATATCCACGGGCCTGGTCGCATGAGAGATTGATTCTTTTAGTGATTTTATGGTGAAGCATAAAAATTTTTATACCTTATTTTTAGTAACAGCAGTTCCTCAACTGCAGTCAGGATAACTCCAGGCATTTTTATCTTTATTTTTTATTTATTTTTTTTTTTTCATCGATGGAGATTTGTAGAACAACGCGATTGAATAAAGAGGACTCTATTGCTCGACTGTCTATTCGATTATACGCGTTGAGCTGTGGGGAACGCGGATTGGCTCAATGATTGGTGCCCCTCCCACATATAGCTACCTAGTGATCGTTCGCGAAACGTAAGTGACGTTTCCATCCGCGTTGCCGAGGAATAATCTAGGGGGGGGAGGAGGAGGAGGAGAAAGATAGGAGGTTGGCTCCGATGGAAATGAGCGGTACGGATAAACTTTGAAGCGACTGGCCCCCTGGGTAATGCATAATTCAGGAATCGTCACCGTCGAGGATATTGCCAATTTGGCGTCGATGAAAATACGATCGGATTCGTCGCGGCCCACAACCTAGAATAGTTTTGCCCCACCAACCCACCAACCCCCCCAACCAACGCCCACAAAATTTTCAAATTTAACATCAACACTCAGGGTTGAATATATATTTTTTTTTTTTGTGATTACAGTTGAGCTCAATTCGTTTGCCAGAATAAATCTCTGCGATGACGAGGATCATCGCCTCGTTCTGCGGTTTATCACGAAAAATAATGACTCGAGGGGTGGCTCTCCGTGAAAGCCTCTCCAATGGGATATAATATGAAATATTTATAACGAGACTAGAGGGTGTATAAAGCCAAGCCGATGAATAGAATACATTGGAATCAATTCAATTTGTCAACACGTTCGTAATTATGTTACTATACTGGACGTGGGTGGACCCTTGGATGGGGTCTCCGTCCCATCAATAATCCATTAAAATATTCTTTCAACAATGGGCATCACTGCACACGCGTCTGTGACGAAATCACGAGCACGAAAATTCATCGAGATTATCATTTACATCGGTTCCATAAAACTGGATAAATTCGTTTCGTATTTTCTCCCTTTCTACACTCAATGCCAGACTCAGCAGAAAAGTGATATCAAAGGATTTGGAGGATTGTAGTTGCAGCTGGACTATTTGGTGAGTTAAAATAAAAATCCAGGTGAAACTCCCACTGTTCGCCATTTACACAGACTTAAAATATTAAATATCACAGAATTGACAATTGTCTCGGTGAATTTTTATCTCGTGAAACTTGTCTCCTCGCCAAAGTTTGGTTACGAGAAGGGGGCGTCGTCTTCCTCCAGGAGGTGGAGGAAAACGTTATTTATGACGCCGGATACGCGGAATACGGTGGAACTTGGTGAATTCCGGTGTACCCACTGATTTTTATCAGCCTCAGACTCCTCACACTCCTCTTCCTCATGTCTCATTAATATCGCATAAATGAATAAGATTTTCCAAAAAAAAAAATGATGATTTTCTGATGGTATTGATTGATGGTGTGTTTTACCTCAAGTCTGTCGTGAAGAGAAGAAGCTGGAGATTGGGGAGGGTGAGGGGTGGGTGAGGGCTCAACCGGACAAATTCGATTTGAGACTTCCGGAAAGGAGTCCAAAGCCCTGGGGATGGAGTAAGAGAGGACAAACGGCTCATTCTCCCTGGAATCGACTTTGGAGTCTCGTTGTAGTACCCATCCACCTCCAGTAGAGAATAAAATAAAATAAACTACTGGAACAATTAGTTAAATTTTAACCGTGGGCAGTATTTTTGTCCATTAGTCATGGAACATAAAAGAACACGTCTCAAGTACAACCAATTGTGCATTTGGCTGTACAATACACAATCCACAGTGATTAACACTCTTTTCCACGATACTTATGTGGCTACGGTATGGTATAGTTACATTTTCAGTAACTGGGGTTGACCTACCTACCCTCTGTATATTTTAACCAACCCCCGTTGTGTCAGACTCGCCCCTTCGATCACTTGAAAACAATTGCCAAGTGGTGGTGGTTGTAAATGTATTAAATTCATTCATTGCTCATTGTAGGGTGACCCCTTGACTCCTTCAATGTATAACCGCTCAATTTCAGTTAACATCCGTGAGAGCGTTTCAGGGGGATGTATGCCACTATCTCAAGGACGTACTTGCTAGTTGCTCTTTATGCTTTTCAAGTTATTCATGTTGAAGGAGAAAGAGTCAAAGTGAGTGGCGACACTTCAGTTTCTGAATATTCTCATGACTCATGACTTGTCAGTTGTTAGGTGTTCTGGCCTGGTGCGGACCAATGGTGGATAATTATTTAACAATTAGAGTTGAGGAAGTACGGGAATTAATCAGAGCGGTTGGTACCACCCTTCAATACTACTGGAAGTGATATTCATTTTTTAAAAATTACTAATAAGCCATTCAAACATTTTAATCCAATTTATAAATTCCATAATTCTTGATAGAAAATTATGGATAAAATATAAATTAATGAAATCAACGAACAATGTTAACACATTATAGGACAATGTACCTTTTGACGATGATGGTTTTTTTTTTTTTGATTTTTTTGTTTTATTAGTCGCCTCGTCTGGGGATTGATAGAGATACAGTCCAGGCTATCAGCAGAAATGCCACAGACTTGCTTTGGTCGGTATGCATATCCACTGGGGGTTTCCGCGGACTGTGATTTTCTGATTAGCAGCGGCTCGACTGGTTGCGGTTAACCGTTGTTAGGTTGTGGCCGATTGGTATGCATGGGCTGGGACTCAAGCCAGAGGGGCACCCCAACACCACTGCATCGTCACCAATATACCATTCAGTGTAGTAGATTCTTGATGGCACTAGATGAGTAGATTCAAATCACAGGCTAGATTGAACATACGTCCCAACTCATAGAAATACCAAATAATGATTAATCATTATTTTTCTAAAAATCTGCATGATGAGAATTGTTTATTGGAGATGCATCATTCTGGAAATCTGGACAATTCATTTTGGAAAATCAAGCTGGAGATCAGTTGAGACTTCTCTTTATCGAATTATTACTTGATAGAATTTTCAAGACTTCTTTTTGTCTCAGAGCTATTTAAAATATTAATTGAACTAAAGAAAATGTGATTTCATTGACTGGAGGCAGTAGAGGAATCGGTGTTCGGTCATTTTTCACCGATTGACTTTGGTCTGACATGAAGCACTCAGGCTTCCCCCACGACGTGTGTTCCAACAAAAAATAAAGTAGTGGGTTGGCGTGGGGAATGGGGGGAATGGGGAGAATGGGGAGAATGGAGGGGGGTTGTAATGGGGGTGGTAGGAATGGGGTGGGGGGTCATTACGTGAGGTACCCCCACCCCAAAAACACCAACAAATACATACTGAAGGTGATGTAGTGTGAATGCACATATCTCGATCGTCGCACGAATATATAGTGGCGGTATTGGGGGCTCACAATTTCCCATGGGTAATGGCACTTTGATTACCCCGTGACGCTTGTACGTCCCGTCAAGTGGCCACGTTAAATCGTGCAGTTGAGGAAAAATTGCCACGGTACGTGCCAATCCTCCAGTCAAACTGTTCAATTGATTTTCCATCTCCCTCGGATCTCCATCGATAAAACTACTTGAAGAATGCATAGAGTGAAATTAAGGTGTACCCCAGTTTAAAATACACTGGACAGACGGTTGTAACACACGAAATTACAGAATTCCACTCGACAATTGCTCAATACGTACCACTTGAACAAGCAACTGGTATCAAATGATTTTTCAACGCTGTACATTTGCCCGTGTCTTTTGTAGATGCTCAATAACTGTGATCAAGGATCCAGTGAATAAAAAAAGTACTCCAGACTCTTGACTCTCAATGGGAGAGAAAATAAAACAGTTACCAATGAAAAATTGTACGTTGAATTTAAATAGAAAATTCAATAATGGGAACGGGCATTAAACTACTGCATACTGGGTATAGTTTAATCACTGGAGAATTATAAATTTCATCGAGTTGAAAGTAGGGTAAAAATCCACTGACATACCGATTGAATTAATCAAGTCCTCACGGATTAAATTGCCACAAGAGAGCTATAATTTCCCGGTGTTTTCCGTTATGAAATAAATTTCAAGTCCAACGATCGACTGCATTCCGGATAATTAACACAAAAATTGATACTGCAAACAATTATTTGACATGAATTGTACTCACTCTGTCACTCTGAATTTCTCATAATAATTTCCTAGTTATGTGTCTCCAAGTTATCATGTGTTTTATGATAACTTGACAGCTATAGGACTGCGATGAAAGGACGATTTTATATCCTCTAGTGGGAGATTCTCCCTATTTTCATTGGCAATAGTGCTGTATCCGCATAACGATCCTCTCGTATTCTGTATGATCGTATAATCAAGGATCGGAGAATCGGCGGAAGTGGAAAGAGACCAAGTGTGAAGAGAAGATGAGAGTCAGAACTATGTGATATTCCTCACTGAATTATATACGTGTTAACTGGCTTTCGGTTTACGATCCGTCTCTTTTCGGCACTGTGCACACTCCATTCCTCCAACATAACAGCCGTCACGCCACATTCCGTAACGGTTTATTTATATCAATTTCATGAAGGACTATTTGCTTCTCGAGTAATAAACCAATCATTGTACGCGTGTATTGTATCGCTCAGTGCTCAATTCATATTTATTTATTTTTTTTTATTTATCTTTGGTCAAATAGAAAATGATTTTTTGGTGTTGGATATGT